TCTTTCCTTTGAATTCCCCTCCTCCCCAAGAGACAAAAGAGTGTTTTTGACAGTCAACTGTGGCTTCATGCCAGTAGGGAAGGAGATGCCAAAGCCACCAACCACCAGGAATAAGACCGTTGAGCTTGGAGCACTCAGGAACACCAGATCTCTTCTCTCTGGCCTGCCTGGCTCCTCTGCTCCCTGCTGTCACACTCCTGATCCTACAAAAACTGTTGGAAACTTTGAGAGCAAGTGGTCAGTGGTGTGATGTTGGCTGCCCCTTGCATTTTGTGCAGAGGACGGGTAAGAAGGGGTTTCACTTTTATCCTCTCCTACCATCAGAAATACCAGTTTAGCAAATCTGAGCCGTTTGACAAGAGGCCACCTTCTCTGTCCTGCCTTTCACAGACCCCCTGCACACTCTCACCTGATGTTTACAGAGGCTACGCTAACATTTTCCAGACTGTCTGGAGGTGGGACCTTGTTGCCACCTCTGCAGATCTATGATTACACAAATGAAGTGACAGACAATGAAAAGGGAGTGGTTTGGCTCACTGAGAACAAAATTCCCCCAAAACCCCCCACCACCTCCGGCAGGAAGCCAGGCAGGAGAGACCGGACCAAACTGGAGAGGAAACAGAGGGCTGTAACTGCTTCTCCTTACAAAGCTGTGGAGAAAGGAAGGAAGAGATGTGTGCAACAGCTACCCTGTGTGAGGCAGCAGCTGGTAGCACCTTTTGGAGTGAACTTTCTTCTCCTGTGCAGAATGGAGCTGTAGGCCAGGCTGAAGGGCTTGCACCTATGATACCACAGAATGGTTTGGGTTGGAAGGGACCTTATAGACCATCTGTTTCCAACCCACCAGTGATAGGCAGGGACACCTCCCACTAGACCAGGTTGCTCCAAGCATCATCCAACCTGGACTTGAACACTTCCAGGGATAAGGCAGCCACAGCTTCATTGAGCAACCTGTGTCAGTGCCTCACCGGCCTCACAATGAAGAATTTCTTCCTAATATCTAATCTAACTCTGCCTTCTATCAGTTTGAAGCCATTCCCCCATGCCCGGTCCCTCCATGCCCTTGTCAAAAGTCCCTCTCCAATTCTCTTGTAGCCCTTTCAGGTACTGGAAGAGGCTCTACGGTCTCCCCGCAATCTTCTCCTCTCTAGGCTGAACAACCCCAACTCTCCCAGCCTGTCTCCATAGCAGAGGTGCTCCAGCCTCTGAACATCTCTGTGGCCTCCTCTGGACTTGCTACAACAGGTTCATGTCCTTCCTGTGCTGAGGTCTCCAGGTTTGGATGCAATGCTCCAAGTGGGGTCTCACCAGAGTGGACTAAAGAGGCAGAATCACCTTTCTTGACCCACTGGCCTCAGTGTAAACTACTCATTGGTCATCTGCTACTTGTCTCAATTTCTGTAGGGTTGGCAAAACACTCCCAAAGCAAAGCAGGTAGCTGGATTCCCATTGCACAAACCAGACTGGTGTTTGCACCATCACCCCAAAGACTGTGGAGCTCTTGTCCCCGAAAAAGCAGGCAGAAGATAGGCAAGGAGAGGCTCCTGAAGGCCAGCACCCAGCCACCTTCTCCCAGGGCAGCCCGAGCAGTTCGGGAGATGTCGGGTCTCCACGGCAGTGCTGAGCTGGGCTGGCCCCAGCTCATTGTGTTTGGAGAAGGCGACGAGGGCAGCTGACCTTATGTAACCAGAGAACAAAGCGGCTAAATAAAAACTGGAGCTGGGAACGGGCTGCGGAAGTGGGACACAGCTTTCCTGACTAATCAACCAGCATCTGAAGGAAACCGAACTCAATGGCAGGGAAACAACTGCATAAACACATCCCAAGGGAAGAAAGGGAGAGAGAGGAAGCGGGGGGAAGACCACAGGGGCACTGGCCCCTTCCACCTCCACTCCTGCCCTTACTGGTCGGGTGGCAAAGCCTGGAACGCCAAGATGGAGAGTGGTGCATGGAAAGCTGCCACGAGCTCAAGGATTTCAAGGGGTGACCTTGCTCATTTACCTGCAAAGCCACCAACTGCATGCTTGGAAGGGCCTCAGGGTTAGGACAGGATCAGAGCCAAGATGGCTCAACACCTCTTCTCCCACTGCCATCTTCAGTGGCATCTGGGTCTAAAGTGGATGAAGGGAATGGAGAGATTTAATCCTGGGGAGGAATGCTGTACCCTATAGCCCCCACTCTGATGATGCAATAGCATCCATCCTACTGCCAATACAACACGGTGTGAACCAAGGCGCCCTAGGGAACCCTCCCGCATGTCCCAGCACAAAGCCAGTGACCCCAGAAAGGGGTACACCCTCGTTTTGGTGCCAGGACCTCGTGATTTTTGCCTGTGAAGGGCAGAGTTTCAGCTCACTCTCACAATACATCACAACCTCAGGACCATGCACAGACACAGGGATTTCCACTGGTCACCCCCCTGCTCCAAACAACTCTCTGGCAAAAGGACTATTTTCCAGGAGCCTCTGCTTTTCCAGGCGTAATCCAGGAGAGTCCTGGCCCAGCTGTGACCCCTCAATTTCCCTGGGGGAATTCCCCAGCAGCCAATGCAGCCTCAGCCTTGGGTGGTCAGAGCCAGACAGGACTGGGGCCATGATAAACGTCCGAGGCCAATGAACTGGCTCCTTTTTCCCTCCTCAAAAACATCTGCCTTTGGGTAAAAGCCAACAACCCTGCAAAGCTCAGCCCCAAATAAATTCTTAAGAAATAATTTTCTGGTGTGTTACAGGGAAGAGGAAAGTAGGTGAGGAAGCCAGAGCCCATTAAGACCTGTGTGGGGGCAAGTTGTCCTGTGCTGGGACAACGGGAGCTCTGGCTCCAGCAGATCTACTAAAGGAGAGGAGAGTCAGTCTCTTTTTAAAGGTTACACTTGAAAAAGTGAAGCCAAGTTGCTCTTCCAGATAGCTAACAAGGGCCACGGCAGTCGTTAGGATCCACGCCATCCAGCCTGCTATTTTTAGATCCTCCAGAAGGAAGGAAACCTCAGACAACCATCAGTGTGAGCTGAACTGCAGCTCTTCAGCTGCTTGGCCAGTGCCGCAGGAGCCGCTCCACCCAGGCGGTCTCACTTCTGACAGCAGGAGGATAGATGAGACTAGCAGAGGGCTTGGGGAGGTCACCAGCATTGCAGCCCCCACCTCTCCATTGCAGAGAGAGAGCTGCCAGCAGGAAACAGGTAGATAGATCCACACACAAAAAAAAAAAAAAAATCCCATCCCAAACAACCCAAAACCTGAGCTGGTTGCTGGCACAGACATTTACAAGACCAGGGAGGGGTGAGTGATCTGAGATCTTCAGAAAAAACAAAGCCTGGGGTTGGGAAAGCAAAGCCTCCCTCTCCGATGGCGATTTTGCAAGGCCCCGTGGCTGCATCCTGCATAGGGAGAGGCAGCCTTGGCTCTGTGCTCGGGTTGCAATCCAAAGCTCACATGAAACGTGCTTTTGGCTGGGATGACCTGGCCTGGGGAGTACAACAGGGAGGCCCTTAAATAGCAGCAGAGGAGGAGAAGGAGCAGCCAAGCAACTCTAAAGGATGAACCACAGACAAGGGAAAATGGAAAAAACTTCCCCATGTGCCAGGATAATTAATGAAAGGAATTTTTTTATCCCCAAAATTTCCAGAAAATAGGATCGTCCCTCTTCATCTCTCTCCTGAGGTTCTGCCAGACACTCAGAGCAATATAACAGTCCATAGCCAATGTGGGCAGCCTTGAACAGGCAACATCACACGCTCAGACCCTTCAGAGATCCCTCTGCAGATCCATGTATGTATGTTTGGGAGATCTGGGCTTGCAGCCAGCATCCCATCCAACACTGACGTTAGGGCTCTGAGAGCTTTACAAGGAGAGAAGAGGCTGGTACCTGTAAAAAACAGGACAACGACATCTCTTCACACTGACCTCTGCAGCACCCTGTTGCTAAACTGAGCCCTAAATCCCCAAAACACAAACTAGAGGAAAGAACAATAAAAACAAAAGCAGTGCCCTGGTCTGCACCATGGCAGACTCCATCCCCAAGCTATGCAGGGTGAACATGAAGATATTGATTGATTACTGTAAGAGAAGCTTCTCCTTCTGCTTAAGCAAACCTGACTGGTGCCATGGAACAGCAAGAGAGCCCAGGAGTGGGGAGGCATGGAGCTGTGGCACAGAGGCACTCACCAGAGGAGCTCAGCTGGCCAGCCCTGGATGGGACATGAAGCTCCACTGGTCCAGGTCGTGCATCGGAGCCATCGGAGGGACCATGACCCTCCTCTGTCTGTCCTGCTGGGGAAGAAGCGATCTCAGCCAGCACTTCCAAGTCCTTCAGGATAACCTGTGGAGAGAAGGATGACATGATGAGCACATGCAGGGCCAGATAGCATGGTGAGCTTTCCTTTCCAAATACACAGCCAGAGAGGGTGAGATGGGAAGCAAACACCGAATCCCAGCACATCAAGAAAGGGAAAAGAGGGCTACCTACAAAGCTCCAAGTGGAAATTTCAAATGCTTGCAGACAGCATGGGGCAGGAAAGAGAAAAGAGAAAAAAACCAGCCCAGTTTCTGCTGAGTCCCAAGGGAGCTCGTGATATTAAACCAAATCTACACAATCAGGAGTGGGGCTTGCTTTCCCCTCATCCCACTTTGGGGAGGTCTGGGTTTTGCTTCCCCACTCCATACCCACGGATTTGGGACAACCACAGCAAGAGCACTGGGATGTTCTGGGGGCAAACACCAGCCTGCCCCCTTGTGCAGGGCAGCATCCCAGGAAAGGCTTGGCTCAGGACATTGAGGCAGAACTGCCATTTGGATTTCATAGCTCTGTGTTTCCAGAAGTCACCAAATTAGTCTATATATAGCATTTCTGGAGAAGTTATTACCGGGTGGGTTTTTTTCCATCCTCAACCCTTCTCATGTCTCAGGCTATTTTGGGTCCCCCTTCATTCAAATGTCCTTGGGTCTAGATGTTTCATCAGCCATCCCTGACGCTCTAAGCACAGAGGGGCTGTGTGGAGCAGAAAGGCTGCCAAAAAGGGTTGATTGCTACACCTAACTCATCAGCTGGCAGAGCACACGCCTGACCACCCTTTGCCGATCAGCACAGTATCCCAGGCTTTCCCTGTGTTCTCACAATGCATATTTCCAAGGAGCTGCAGTTATATGGGAGTTTTAGTTTCTGAGCTAACCCTTAGCCCTGGAAAAACAAAAAGTCAATTACATCTTTTTTATGATCATGCTAGAAAACACAATCCCTGAAAAAGAGAAAGAGGAGTTTCTGGGGTTTTCTGTTGCACAGATAGCTTAAGCTGGGTGGGGCTTCTTTTGTAATTAGGGCTGATTTTCAAGCCCCCAGCAGCCTTGGAGCAGGCAGTGTGGTGTCTAGGCTGTGGTGGGGAAGCAGCCTGCCATCAGCATCATGAGGCTCCAGCACACTTGGGAAGACCCTGTGCCTATAAACATGATTAAGTCTCAGCTCACAGCTCCCCAGGGGAGGAAAAAAACCCAAGACAACAACAACTTGTACTGCTGCCCCTGAAGAATATGGAATCTTCATGATGCTGTCAAGGCTGGGAGCTCATTGCCAGCACAAGAGGTCCCTGCCATCACCAGCCTTCAACCTCTTCCAGGGAAGGGAGTCTGTGGTCCCTGGCAGAGAGAAGACCGTGGTGCTCCCTCTCTGCCTAGCTTTCAAGCACCAGCAGCTCAGCTAACGTAATGCTGGCAGTTTCCCTTCAAGCAGAGGATGCCCCTGAGCAGATCTTATGACACCTGATCTCCTGAAGCCTTATGTAGATTCTCTAGTGGCTAATCATGTGGCTCAGCTGAACTCGCAGCCTTTGAGCAGGTGAAGGCACCAACTTGGGTCTCAGGCTCCCACAGCTGGGGAAATAACGCTCATAGGGGGTTCCAAGTCTCACTGTCTTTGGATAAAACTGGCAAGGGGACACAGGGCTTGGCTACCAAGGCTGTCAGGCAGGTGAGAGCCGGGACTCTCATTCACAGGGTGGATTTTGCCAAACCCAACATAACCAGGAGACAAGGCCATATGTGGTTGATGTCCCACCCACTCATGACTCTCACTCTGCTGCATTTGCTGCTGCCCTGATCCCCACACCCAGCTACATCATCCAGCTTACTCTTCACTAGCAGCTCCCATGGCATCAGGAAACAGGACCAAGACTCCAGGCTGGGCACAAATCACCCCTGCTGCCTCTCAAAGCTGTTAGAGCCATGTTTTGAGGCTGGATCCTTAATCCAAACTCTCAGAGCTGTCTGCCAAGCCCCAGCTTTAAGATGCTACTTGGGCTCAGGATGCTCCAGCCCGGGGAGCCTGGGCAGCAGTGACCAGCACCACTGGAGGGCAGAGCTGAACCTTGGAGAGGTTAAGAGGTGTCCCTCCAAGCCAGCCATGTAGGTCACAGGCAGGAGGTGGAAAAAACAGCATAGCCTGAGTTTTGCAACTGAAAAACATAAAGGAAAGAAGCAGCAGGAAGGATGAGTGCACGAGCACAGGGAGGAAGAGGAAGAGCAGGCAGCCGTGGAGACCTGGGGTTTTCCAGCCGTGGGAAAGAGGCAGGGAGCTCCAGCTCCCGCTGCTTCTTCTCCGCATGCTCTGGAGTGGTTTCCCAGCTGGGGACGGAGGAAAGGCAGGAGCGCTTGGTATGCACTGCACATCCCTGTGCTAAGCAAAGCTGGAGCTGGCGGCTGGCTTTGTGCGAGCCAGGAGGCTGTAAGAAAGCAATATCCTGCCATTGCCATGGCAACGACCGGCTGAGCCAGGAGCTGGTCCCATCAGTCAGGAGCCCAGCAGCCCTCGGAGCACGAGGGCCAGAGCCATTCCCGAGCTGCCAGGCAAAGGTGTGATCCTGACAGCCAGCCTGGAGGATGAGCCCCCGAGGACATTTTCCTGGTCCCGAGGGGATTTCTGGGAAGATTTCCCAGCGGTGAGTGGGAAACCTCTGGGCAAGCATGAGGTTGGTGAGTAGAAATAGGAAGGAGCACGGAAAGCAGCATCATGATGGATGGGGAGACCTGTCCAATGTCACAAGTCATTCCCAGCACAGGGATGAAGAGCAGCATGGAAGAGGGCGAGCTCTGGGTGGCCAGGGGACAAAAAGCAGGTTTTCAGACAGTTATAAATAAGCAGCTATTTCTCCTCCCTGAAAATAGGCAAGATTTCTCCCTGCATTGCCTCCAGAGCACAGATTTTGAGGGCATACACAACTGTCAGCTTCTCCAGATCTAGGTCAGGTTAATTTGCCGCTTGTTCTGGTTGAACGGAGCCGAGACCAGCTCTGCCGGCGACGCAGGGGGAAAAGCAGCTCCTGAATGGTGTGTGCAGGATAGGATGCACCTCCCTGTGCGTGCAAAGCACTGCCTCGATGCTCCTGGAGGAGGGGAGAATTTGCCCCTGGTCAAAATGCTGGGCTGGCCCTGGCCCATGGCAGAGGAAGGCGAGGTAACCCCAAATGCAGCACATGCTGACTACCAAAGAGATAAGGGAAGGCTGCAGCAGCAGCTCCTCGGGCACACGCTGTGTGACTGAGCTCCTGAAGGTGTTGTCCTTGCTGGCATTTATTGAAAAGTTGGGAGGAAAGAAAAGTGAAAAGATTAAAATGTCTGTGTACTCACGGGTGACCTCAGATGTCCCAGAGGATGGGTATTCCCCGGGCTAAGAAATGGGGCACACAACACTAGGGACGAGGTTATTCTTGCCAAGGAGAAGATGGGAATTCAGCTTAAGATGTTACCAAGATATAAAATAAGAAGAGGACCAAGAATCAGGGAGGCTGTGGAAAACCCCATGGCATTTCCAGGACAAGCAAAGCAGGTGAAGGAGAAACCTGGTGGGAACCAGGAAAGCGAAGGATGCTGCTTGGTGCTTCCTCCTGCTCCACCACTCTCAGCATGCACCGTGGCTTCCCCAAAAGGCATAATTTATTTTGTTTAATTTTTTCTCCTTCCAAGCCTTTTAGCTGTAGCCAGGGGAAGGAGGTGAGCACAGGCAGGCAGTCCTGGAGCCAAAGCAGCCAGCAGTGAGGCTGGCTGAGCCCCAGACACACACAGTGTGAAAAGCAAACTTGCGTCCCCCCTGCCTCCACCAGCTTTAAAAAACAGAAAAAGAAAAGAAAACCCACCATTAATCTTCTCAAACCAATTTAACCAAACCTCTTTTCAGGTCCCCAGGACAGCAACTTTTATCCTCTGATCTTGCCAAGACCTTTTCTTTCTGTCTTCCCAAGAGGGGATGGGGACCAGAGGGAAGGCAGCGGGGCTGGAGCCTTCTCCTCTCCTCCTCAGGGCAAATCATGCCTGGTCACACTGACACATACAGTTCCAGTTCATACAGCCAGCAGTGTGGCAGGGCACTTGGTAAAACAGCCACAACCACTTCAAAGCAAGCTGGAATCTGAAAACTCTGTGTCCTCCCTCCTGCTTTTGCAAATCCTCCAGTTGTCCCTCTTGCTGGGGGTGTGAGGGCCAGGCCTGCAGCACCCTGAGCACCATCACAGCTCAGAACAACTATTTAAATATGTTTAATTAATGTATGGGGAGCTTAACACACCACCTCTGATGCCAGTCACAGGGCAGGATGCCAAGGAGGTATTTCATAGAGTCACGGAATCCTTAAGGCTGAAAAATACCTCTAAGATCATTGAGTCCCATTAACCCAGCATAGTCATGCTCACGACTACACCATGTCCAAGTGCCAAAAGTGCTATTTCTCCATGCATTAAAAAGGGCAGGGAAGGAGGTAGGACAGGTCCAGCCAGTGGAATGGGGCTGGAGGAAGCTGGAATAGCCATGGAGTATCCCTGCAGGCCATGCTATGTGAGGCTGGATGCCTGCAAATCCTTCAAATTCAACACCCAGAGTCCCAGAGCTTATGACAGACAAAAGGTTTGCTCTTATTTGCTACCCTGTCTCCCACCCAGCATCAGCCTCCACACACAGGGAGCCAGGCACCCAAAGCCACCGAATCTTGCATCCTACTCGTCCATCCCAACCTGGACCCTCTCCAAGCCAGCTCCCTGAGACAGGGATTGCCTGTCCCACACAGCAGAGAGGTATTCTGTGGTTTTAGTCTGCTCCATGACTTCACCCAGGAATGCAACAAGCACCACCTTGAGCCCAGACTGCCACTTTACCCCAGTTGTTCACTGTACTTATAAACTGCTTATGCATTTGTGTACATAAGCCAGGAAATTATGGTCCCAAACTGGTGCTGAGCCAAGAAGCTCCCTATGGATCATGCTCTCCCCCCACCCAAGAAACTTCCTATTCCTGCACAATGCAGCACACAGATTATTGTTCAACCCAGTGACCTTGCAAAGTTCAAGTCCTGGGAGAAAACATCACCCCACCCTGCTTGGAGAAGGCATCACCCCACTTCTGCTTGCAAGCTGCTTCCACCTATGGCAATCCAGGCTGACCACATTTTCCATCATCCAACTGGAATTATATACCTCTGTCTATACCCCATCATTTCAGTCCCATGCTCACCATCAGGGTAACTTCCCTCTTGAAAACCAGTAGTCTCCCTGCTTTGGTACTTCACAGCTGTGAGTCTCTCTCCAGAGAAGCCTTACCACAAAAAAAATTTAAAATAAAGGCCAGGCACATGTATATTAGAGTTCTCTCCTTTGCAGGTTTTAGCTTACACCCTCTGCTTTGCATTAGGTCACAATATTTCGTCCCTGGCAGATGAAAGGCTGGGAGCTGGAGCACAATGGCTCTAAACCCAACAGAGCGAAGCTCCAAACCAAACCACGCTAAGACAGCTATTCGCTTTGGCACAAGCTTTTGTTCAGCTTCATTGTACTGGGAATCAGGCACGATGGGAGAAGTTCGCCAGGATTTAGTGCGACAGCAGAGCTCAGACCTGGGTTTTGAAACCCTGCAGTGCTGCAGCAGGACATGCAGGAGGGGTGGAGGAGCTAGCAGCAAAGGAGAGAGGTGACATCAGTATACCACCATCCCTGGGTTTTATTCTCTCCTAGTTTAATAATGGAAAACCAAGAGAGGGCAGAATGCTTCCGCTTGTCACAGGGAAGTTGGCTTGAAGGTCATGCAGATGATCAAGTACATCATAGAATGACAGAATGGTTTGGGTTGGAAGGGACCTTATAGACCATCTGTTTCCAATCCTCCTGCCATGGGCATGGACACCTCCCACTAGATCAGGTTGCTCAGAGCACCATCCAACTTGCCCTTGAACAGTTCCAGGGATGGGGCACCCACAGCTTCTCCTGGGCAACCTGTTCCAGGACTCATCACCTCAGTGAATAATTTCTTCTTAATAGTCCATCTAAACCTGCCCTCCAGTCAGTGGCAGCCCAGCTCAGCTCACCCTTTCTAGAGAAACGCACCAACTTTTGAACAGACTTCTGAAGGAAGTACCTCTGTACTCAGAACCTTGCCTGGTCGCTGCACAACACAGGTTTTCATGTTAGCAGAGTTGAGAGGAAGCCGAAGTCTATCCTGCTTCACATCAGACACCAGCTCCACCTCATGCGTCATTCCTGCATGACTCAGACAAAAGTCCCAACACAACTTTCAACCCCCAGCAAGATCGAGGGGAGCAGATAAGCAAACAGGAACACATTCAGCCATAAAGAAACAACTTCATTTTGGAGCCGGAAAAAGGAAAACAAAACAAATAAACCAACCCAGCAGCATCACTTCTTCTCAGTTTTCTCAGAGATGCCCTCACCTCCTGTTGTGTTCACTTGAGCTCAGATCTTGGATCCATTCAGGACCCAGGGAACTGAATGGCTACATCCAAAGCTGCCAGGAGACAGGAGATAATCCGAAGAATGTCTTCTTTTCAGCAGAGCCTAGCAGCAGCAGTGCCTTTACCCTACACGTGGAAAGGTCCAACCCACTGCTCCCAAACAGCATTTCACCTTTTCTAACCTCAGTTCTTCAAGCAGAGCTGTGAGACTGGCACTGACAGATGTGCAGCCAGTGTAGAAAAACCCACTCCCAGCAGGATCCTGTTATGTCTTGGAGCTGTAAGGAAGTTTTTAAGCACATCAAATTTTAACCAGGCTTTTATAGATTGCCTTCAAAACCAGGTCTCAAACACAGGATGGAACATCTCCCTGCCAGGGAAGCACAGGAAGCAGCACGAGGTGACGCAGTGCAGCAGTACAGCGTCTGACAGCCAGGAATCCTGGATCCTGACTTGTCTACATATCAAAGGGAACTGCTTGCTTCAGCTTCGCTTCAACATCACTGCGCTGCCTTTGTGAATCTTAACTAGGTCTCTTGACCATTTCTTTACTGCCACAGGAGAACTGGGTAGGAAGGGGAAGAGGAGAGAAGGCAGAGATGACTCAGGACACTGCAGATGCATCATGAGATACTGGCCCCTGTTCAGCACAGTGGAGGTGGTGCAACACTTTGTGCTACTTGAACGATAAAAACAGGCGTGAGAACTTAAAGGGCATGGATCCGGCTCCATCCAGCATGAGTCTCTCCTTGCTTTGGGCTTGATTATTTATGGCAAGTGCACAGAGAGACTCAGAGCAGCTCAGCAAAAACAGACCTTAAAAATAAGGTGCCTGAGCACAGCCTTTTGGTCAGACTAGCACTGACCCTCCAAAGCCAGATTCTCCTTTGGTGATGAGCTGGTGACAAACAACTGCTCCAGGACAGCTCCAGGGCACACCAGGAGAGCAACAGGTAACCTTCAAACCGTGCACAGGGGCCAGGAGAACCGCAGGCACTGCAGAAAGATGTTCAACCTTGCTGGGAAGAAAGATGATACTGACACTGCTGACTAGCAGGTGCCCTTGGGGAGAGCGGCATTGCAGGATGAAGAGAGCAAAAAAAAATAAATCTCTGAAGATGTGTGTACACCTTGTGCTACATCACACAACATGCAAAGCCCTACCTGAAAAGGGGAGAGATGTGCTTCCTCACCAGAGCTGATGGTTAGCTCACATAGGCTCCCATGTTAACTTGGTGATCCCCAGGCCATTAGCCAGGAGCTTCTGGGCATCACAGTCTATTCCACGACAACACGACTGTGCACACAAATACTGTACTGGCTAAGTGAGCACTCCACATCCCCTTTTCTAATAGGGATTGACATTGCAGGTTAGCTTGCTCAGAGTATCTTCATCATTCCCAACAACGTCCAGCTCAAAACCCCCCTACTATTTCAGTCATTTCTATTTCCTCTGCAGAGAGCAGCAAATCTGGTTGGGAGCCAGCTGAGCAGTGGTGTTTAATGGATTGACTCGACTATGGATTTCCTTGGGAAAAAAAAAAAAGCCACCTCCAAACATTTAAATAAATAGAAGTCAGGATTAAATAAATCAGCTTAAAATTACTTTTGAGCCATTCCCAGTTATGTCACAGGGAGGAAATGCATCACCAGGGTCCTTTCTTCACTGCTTTTTTCAAATATTAATAAGCAGTGTAATTGCAACATGACTCACTGCGATCTCCTGCCAAGCTGGAGAGGCTATCTGCAAGATGCAGGCTTTCTAGAGCGTTGCAAAGGCAGATGTGTGCTTGGGGACTCTTTTGGAAAGGTTTGCATCGTAAGCAGCAGGGGATGGAAAATGGCCAGGCAGTTGCTTGCCTTTGCAAGTCATTCCCTCGCTTGCTCATTCCCTTCCCTCCTCTCTTAACGACCCCCTCGCACATGGGATTTATTGCAGGATTGGGGTTTGGTGCTCTGAGCGTGTAAGGCAAAGCAGAGAGCGTGTGATTTTTATTCCGTGAGGAAGGTCTGGGTTGAGAAAACAGCTAGAATCATTCGCAGTTCTGGGCAAGAGGTATCCAGCTGATGGTGGAAGCACTACAAGTGTCTAGGCCAGCTGTGTGCCATGCTGCTGGCCTCCCACCCAAGCACTAAAAAGCTCCAGGGAACAACTGAAGTGGAGAAGACAACAACAATGCTAAAATTCAGATGACTAGAACCAGAGAAGAGAGGTGAAGAAGAAAGATAAGGAAATGGAAAAATGCTGCAGCATCTTGGGAAGGTGCTCTTCATCCCAGCAGATGAAGTGCAACAGCAGAGCAAGTTGGCTCACTCTGCTTCCTGATTTTCTCTTCTCGCTTCTAAGATGAGTGGTTCCCAGACAACCTGATGCCACTGGGCACCTACTGCAGCCCCACCAGGCAACACTGCTGTTGCCCTCTGAGCAGTGGGTGCTGCTTAACTGCCTCATGACTTGGATTTGGCAGTGTCAGCTGGACACAATCCCCCTCACATCTTCACAAAGGCTGTTGCAAGGTGGCTGTCCCACTCACCAAGGATCTGACCATGAGCCAGCCCCATCAGAAAGACACCAACTCTGGGGTCAGAAGCCCCAGCTGCCTTCCCAGGCAGGCAAAAAGGATGCTTAGCCTCTGCATTAGGTCTTCTTCAGTTTGGCCAACAGGGTTAATCACTGCAGTGCAATCACTGGCCAAATTTCACAAAATGGCCAAACCTCGCTGGCTAAAACCTCAGTTCAACCATAAAACCCAAAGCCCAGCTAGATGTGAGAACAGTAAGCTTCCAGGAGGATTCCTGCAGCAGCTGCAGCACTTACCTCATCTGACTCATCTGAGAGGGTCCGCAGCAAGATGGGGAAGAGGCTGTCAGTGTGTCGGAACATCTAGAAGCAGAAAGACAGATAGCATTAGTCCTACAGGCCTGGTCACCCCTGCCACAGGGCCACTCGCCCTGGGGAAGGCTGCCAAAGCTTCATTGGCATTTTCCATCTTCTTCCTCAGGCTGTGGAGTATACAGCAGTCAAAGCCTTCTCAGAAAAGACAGGTAGACATGTTTGCAATACCAAGCTAATTTAAGCCCATTCAAGGGCACAGAGCAGGCTGGGAGTGGACAAGCTTAATCTCATTGAGGAAGAAGTAGGCTCAAATACTGAATCCTCAACCTACCTTACGAGGAGTCTTGATGTACAAGTGGTAGAGCCATTTCAGGACTGCAATTCTGGTCATCATCCCAATGGATGTGTCATGAAGGTGGCAGTCCAGCACCTGAACTATTCCATCCAGGTTCAGGGTCACCGGGATCCTCTCACAGCTGCAAAGAAAGGAGAGAGGCTGGTTCAGTGCTGTAACATCCAACTCATTCCTCCCATGGTGGGGAGGTCTACAACACACCAGAAGCTGCATCAAACATCTCAGTTCAAACCCTCACTAGATGTGACTCACTACACCAGCTCTAATCTAATCTAAATCTCTCCTCTTTTAGACTAAAACTATTCCTCTTTGTCCTATCACTACCTACCCATGTAAAAAAGTCGCTCTCCCTCTTTTCTATAATTCTTTGAAAACAGAAATCTTCCAGGATTCACAGTTTACCACTTATCCAAAACAGCTGGTACCTACTAATGAGAAGGCACCAAGCTAGATGAATCCAATACTACGGCTGTGTGAGATCTCCTCTTTTAGACTAAAACTATTCCTCTTTGTCCTATCACTACCTACCCATGTAAAAAAGTCGCTCTCCCTCTTTTCTATAATTCTTTGAAAACAGAAATCTTCCAGGATTCACAGTTTACCACTTATCCAAAACAGCTGGTACCTACTAATGAGAAGGCACCAAGCTAGATGAATCCAATACTACGGCTGTGTGAGAAAATGGTCCATGTGGTCACCAGGTTTGGGGTTCAAAGATTAGAGATCCATAAAATGCACTCAGAATCTACCTCAAGGTCAACCAGCTCAAATAGCTCCAGAGAACATTAACCTATGTATACTCCACCAGCTGGGGCTACCCAACCTGGTGAGGACACCCAGGTTCTGCTGATCCCAGCAGACTTGTGCTGAAAACTGCAGATGGTGCCCTGGCTGGCAGTGGGTTTGGGATGCAGCTCTCTGCTACAAGGCTGCCTTGAGAACTTCATCTTGTTTCCAAAAAGCCATTCCAAAAGATGAGGACAAGTCTTGGTCATCAACCAGAGATGAAAGGAAATAACTCCTTTACTTCACCAGGACATTGCACCTTTTAGAACACTGACAGCTGCAGACTCTTAGCTCCTGCTCCCCAGCTTTTCCCCCAGATAGCTGGGACCTGCATTGGGACAAGAGACCCAAAGCAGAAGAGGTCATGTTACAGCATTTTTTGTTTGTATTTGTGATCCTGAAGTCTACATGATGGTTTCCCATCTCCTTGACAGTGAGGACATGGAAAATATCTGTTGCAGGAGACTCAGTTAAGGAGGGATGATGGTTGGAACCAAGACGGTTGGAGGAGATCACCAAGAGGCTACACTGAAGAGTCAAGTCACACCTGTCCTACCCAAGCTACTGAATTATTCAAGGCTGGACCAGGCTCCTTCCAATTTTTCCAGCATGTGCAGAGCTGCTGTGCATCTTGTTTGATAAGAAATCCTAAGGGGTAGATTTCTCACGGTATAATTTGCAAGGAGAGCTGCAGCTTAATAGGATTTGATCTTCCCCAGGACACACATTGCAAGGGCGAGACGAGGAGGCTGCAGCCCCTCACAGCCCTGAGGGGATCTGACTACTTGATCTGCCTCACGTAACAGATGCTGGGGGCTGCAAATTGCATTTCGCTTTGATGTTGAAAACAACAGCCAAGGGCCAAACACTCAGACTGTGAAACTGAGGGGAAGGAGAGACCCAGAGCATGGGGAGTCTGGGAGAGGAGATGTCCAAGGGAGCAGCATCCTAGGCCATTTAAGCCAGCCTGAATGAGCCCTGTATATGGTTTTCCTGAAAAACCATCTCCCGTGGCAGCAGCACAGCCCTCCATGCCCCCTGTACAGAGCTTCAGATGGAAGAGGAGCAGGAATTTTTGAATTGACAACATCTCCACACCAAAACGCATTGCCTGGGCAGGATGGGGAAAAAGAAACCTCAGGGTAATGCATGCTTTCAGAGGGAAGAGACCAAAAGGACAGCAGAGAGACGCAGTGCGTGAAGCCAACCTGTTTGGAGGTGCCTTCAACACTGTCACATCCACCAGCAACATGCTGCTGTGAGGCAGGTGGGGAGAACACAGGGAGCCATGGTTTGCCACAGCACTATTAGTCCACTGATGCTGAACTCTTACCAGCACAGCAACAAACAATTTCCAGCCTGCTTTGTGCCAAAATTGTCCATGAAAACCCCCTCTCCGTAACTGCTCATGATGCAGTACCTGGGCAGAGCAAAAACCCACCTCAGCAGAGCCCAGGAGGTGACTGGGAGCACTGGGCTGACCTGGAACCAGGCAGCCCCAGCCATGCCATGTACCACTGCCCTGTGGCTCTGCTGGGCTCAGCGCTCACTAGAAGGGATGGCAGCTGGGAAAAGCTCCTTGCCGGCTATCCTCTGCTCGCATCTGCCGAGATAAACCTTTTAGGGGGGTTGCTGGCAGAGAAGCAGCTCATTTACTCAGCACAAAACCAGGGCACCACTCTGAAAGGTGAGAGGTCCGATGAACATGGAAAACTGGGCTAAAATCTCCCACCAACCACTCTCCTCTGCCTCTCAGATGGAGCAGCAATGGATTACCACGGGCTGCTGCCTTTCCAGGGGTTACAGCAGCAGCCAAGCACTGCTGCAGCTCCGGAGCAGGCTGGGAGCTCGCCCTGCTCTCTAATCCCCAGGCAGCAGGGAGCGGGAGCAGCAGTAATGGCATTGCGTTAATGTGATCCTCTGGGCCTGCCATGCCGGCTCCCAGCGCCGGCATCTGCGGCAGGGCAGATGTCAGATGCAATCACTTCCATCTAACCCACTACCCCAGATTCCGCTCTGAAGGATCAACGTGGCTCTGGCACCGCCTCCGTGGTTCGCCTGTGACAGCGAGAACATGTTTTTAGGGCAAATTGAGCAATGATGGGGGCTGTGCTGGGCTGTACCTCTGGATACCGGTACCCTTTGCTCAAGATCAGTGCTAGGGCAGAAGACCTACCCCCCAGCACATCCCCCAACTCAGAAAATGTGCTTCAGCATGGGAACAGAGCTTTCTTTCCCACTGCATTCAACCCACAGCAATGTTTTTCACCCCATGCCCCTTATCAACTCGTTTTCCCCCGTTCTTCAAAGGCTTCTGCCATTTCTCTCCTCAGCGGTCACCTTTTCTCTGCCAATGCCTGAGCTGCCATCTCCCTCCTGGCTTCCTGCCTGGCCCAGCTGCTTTCCTGACCCCATTTTCAGACAAGGTTAAGGTACAGGCCAGGCTCTAGCCTTTAGGCAAGCCCAGCAAAGTGGCCTTGCCAAGGGTGGAAATATCCAGGTTCTTTCATTGTGGTCCAAGTCACAAGGGCAGCTCCCATACAGGCTGGCAGCTGTGCTGCTCAACGGGCTCGAGCCAGCAGCCAGGAGGTAAATAGCTCCTCTCTGCTATTGGTCCCACAAGCTGTCGCTTTCTCGTCCTCCATTGCTCTCATTTCAGTGCTCTTGGCTTCCTTCTGCTTACTGCAGTTTCCAAGATCTCCCAGGGAAGTGATGAGGCAGGCTAAGGTCTAGGCAGAGGCATCCAGTCCAACAAGCTGTAGATCACCGTGACAAGGGCTGGGGCAGTGTGCCTCTGGTCCCCCATCAAGTTTACCATCCCAAGCACACAGTGGGAGCAGCAAAGGGAATCAATCTCCTCGCCCCAGGCTAGAGTGGAGGGCCAGGAGGAGCCACCCCAAGAGGACACCCTGGACCTGAATGCTGCACAAGACAAGCTGATGGAGAATGGGACTCCAAGGCAGGCTTGGTGCCTGAGCTCAAAGCAAGCCAATCATGCTGCCTTCAGCTAACCATTCCCTGGGCACTGTGGGGCACCCAGCATCATCATTACCCTCCATCCAAGTGTTCCCCACATCCAAGAGCTTCCCAGCTGCACCCCAAAGGTGCCTCAGGCTCTGGGCATGAGGGTACAGCAACTTTCAGCACGAGACAAAAAGCAGCAATTTTAGCTTTGTAGTAAGCCCTAACTACCACATTTAAAAACCTAATTTAAACATAGCGTCGGGCAGCTCAGCCACGTGGCAGCCACTTGTCTTTTCTGCAGAGCAACATACAGCTTTACACGTCCCTGTGTTGCTGAACACCACCCAAAACATGAAACCCCACAAAAGCTCCTCTGAAGCTTCCATGGCCCTTCTCTAGTTTGGTGAGGGATTGTGGTCCCATCACCCAGTCAGTCTAACCCTGATCACTTTCAGCTGTGCCTCACCATCTGCCCAATAGCACCATTAGGAAGTTGTCTCAAACCATCCAGGTCTTGTATTGAAACACCGATGCATTTATAAGAGCCTAAAAAGCTCTTTCCAGCTGTTTTGGTCCATTGACACAAGACAGACATCTGCATCTTCTCCTGCAGCAGCTCAGACCAACGGAAGGAAGCCCGGGCTCTGCTCCAGCAGCCACACTTCCACCTCCCTTTCCTCATCCGGGCTCACACAAGCAGCATGGTCAGCCAGGCCACAGGAAGGATCCAGTGCCTCTGAAACATGGTTCTGGTCCACTTCCAATGAGAGTTTTTGCAGAAGCTGGAAGCAGGAACCCCCACCTACATGGGGAACCCCAAAACCCCTCCAGCCCTGCACAGCCAGGCTCTCCCAGGAGCCAGTTTCTGTCTTGGCACGGACACAGTCCCCATTTCCTAGTAGATGTCACCAGGAAACTCCCTCCAAGTGAAGCTGGCAAATACTTGGGAAGCATTCTGGAACATGTTTTAGGAGTGGGGGCGGATGCCTGTGTCAATTTGTGGCCACAGGAACATGCCCAACATCCATGTATGAAGCATTCAGACCTCATCTTTTTGGATGGCATCTTCATGGAAGATGTGCCTCTGCAGACGCCAGGCCAGGAGCTCCTCCGCCCCCACTGACCGAGGTCCTGCTTTCCCCACTGCTGCAGCACTATCCCTCTGCAGTCGGCTGCAGGGAGGGCAGGAGAAGGGGGCGTGAGAGCTGGATGCTTGGCGCTGGGCCATGCTCCATCACTCGCTCGCCGGGGGAGACTGGGGGAAGCAGGGGGGGGAAACGAACAAAAACAGAAGCAAAGAGTGACTTCATCTTAAAAGGCAGCTGCAACTTCCTCCGTTTGCAGGCTTTCCAGCTTTCCACAGCAACACAACGGCTTCCTGCGGTCCTGCCTTGACACCCAGTGGGCATTCAGCATGCAGGCAGCTGCCTGCTCCCCGGAGTGAATTACGGCTGCAAATGGCTACGGGTGCCAGCTCTCGCCTTCCTCCGGCTCCAGGGCCAAGCCAGACAGCCTGAGCAATGGATGAGCACCAGGCAGATGTCCAGGGCTCCCATCAGCCATGTACAGCTTCCCTCAACTCCATGCCTGTCACCCACAATGCATGCCACAGTGAAAGGGTTTCAGGTCCTGCTGCTGGATGAGCAGAGGGGTCAGACAGGAAGGGGAAAAAAGGGCTTCAGGGCAGGTAAACCCTATGATAAACCCTGAAGTCTCCTGTTTAGAAGAGGTCAGGAGGGCTCAAGAACAAGTCACTCTGCAAAAGCAGGTCTCAGAGATGTGGGTCTGTCCTGCTATTGTGGATAGTTTTCCCTGGTGCTTGAATTGCTGGCAGACTGCTTCAGCTCAGGCAGCTGTTCTGCTGGCCCTCAGTGTCACTGAGACAAGTCACTCTGGCTCTCACTCCTTCCCTCCCCCCCCAGGTGCAAGCTCTTCAGAGCAGATACATGGTTATCACTTGTCCTCCTGACTTAATGCCTCTTATTTTCCTTCCCCATCTCCTGCCCCATTTCAGCCTTATGCACATCCACTTCTGCAACTGCTAAACTTTAAGGGCTGAGCAGAGCCAGGACATAGCAATCACAAAAAAGTCAGGGAAAATCATTTAACAGCCATAAACCAACATCTAGGTGCAAATGAAATAACCTGTACTTCCAAGAGAGAAAAAAATTAAGGGCATCATTAAGACCAGGGAGTAACTGGGCTGTGCAGAAATGCAAAAAAGGAACAGAGGGTACAGACCATCAACCTGAAAAGCTGACGCTTGCATTGCTCTGCGTTGTTATGATGGGCATCACGCTGGTAGGATGCAGCTAAAGCAACACATCCTATTTTGGGGATCACAACAGCAAATAAAAATAAGAATCAGCACAATAAAAAAGTGTTGGAAATCACAACCTCTGAGTAAAGGAACTGCAGGCAGCAGGAAAGGAAAGATGGTATTAGAACAGATGGATTTGTCCCCAAATTCAGACAGCTGGATGGGAAGAAAGGTATTTTCAGGAGAGCTGATTTACATGAGATGTTGGGAGAGATCGTGCTGGGCACAGAACTGGTGCAGGGCTGACTAATGCCATGCAAGGCTGGCATTAGGGGTCCAAGACCCCCCAGCTGTGTGGCTCCAGGTCCAGCCCCACAGTCCTGCACTGTGGTGGATGGCCAAGGTCAGTGCACCTCAAGCTCTCCTGAACACAGTTTGTCTACCATACCTCTGCAAAGACAGGAGAGAACTAAATGCCTTATCTTTTGGCCAAGCTAGAAGAGCCATAACCAAGACAACCATACACCTTTTCTCCACCCTGTTTTTAAGGCAGAGTGCATAACCATGGGAGCTTGAAGACAGGTGAGGTGCAGAATCCCTAGTGCACAGACACTCACTGCCTCACTAGGGAGCTTTGCAAGGTCTCTTCAGGGGGAAAAAAAATTAGTTTACCACAAAGTCAAGATATTTTGATGCAAATGCATGAGAGAGAAGCAGTCAACTCCTAGAGCATCCCCAGTCATACAACCTACTGGGACCCAGGTGACCCCAAGTGCTTTTCAGCCCAGCCCACTCTCCCCTAGAGCTTTGTCAGCATCTGTCAGTCACTGTCTGTACCTCAAGAAGCCTTCCCTGCTTATCAAGCCCCTCTGAAGCAACAAACAGACCCTACCTGGTTACTGTGAAGACACTGCTGTTGCTGAAGTTGGATTCACCAGATGCCTCCAGGGAGCCTGGGGACAGGAAAACAGGAGACACAGTCAGTGGGATGGCAGGGAAGGTGGAGAGTAGGACTGGGAGGATGGAGAGCTGCATGACCTCCTGCAAAGACATCACCAGTCATTGTCTGAGGGTCCAGGGACCTGAAGGATTGCTTCTGCCTGCAGTGAGCATTTTACACTCCTCCTCAAGCCCTTCTCCACTGCCAGAGAAGCTGGTACAGGACTGCACTCACCTAGCAAAATGCAGAGGGCACAGATTCAGACCTCTGCCCCAAACTGGGTCCCTTCCTCTGTGATGGAGAACCAGACACATCCCCCTCATGGTTTCAACCATTCTCAAAGAAGTAGCTCAGAACTGTAGAGCTGCCTTCAACTGTCCTGATTTCAATGCCTAGAGATACCACATGCACAGGAAAGGTGGAATCCAACCCAGGACATCTCCACCTGGCCATAGTTTGACTCCATGTGGAAGCCAAGCGACCCAAACAGCTTTCCAACCTCTGCTCAAAATGGGTCTTACAAGCACAGTGACAAAGCACAACAGGATGAACTTGACTCTTTGTGCCCCCTTGTGCCAACAGCCTCTACTCACACAGGCAGCAGCATTGCCACATCAGCACACCTAGGGAGCAGAGCTGAGAGCTTCTGATGGAAAAGCATCACAGCTTTATCTGATCCTGCCTGCTTCCAGGGGCAATCTGACCCCTGAAGGGTTGAGATTAAAAGCAATTAAGCTTTCTGTTGATAGTTGAAAGCTCTTCCGCAATAGATTTTAATACAAGGAGGTATCCTTGGGACAAATAAGGAATAAAAAAGAAAAGTTTTTGCTGCTGTGCTATGGCAGTAAATTTTTCTGCTTTATCCCTTCCAAAAAGAAAGCCTGTATGGAGTTAGGCAGAGAAAGCTTTTGCACCTTTATTGGCAGCTAAGGTAAACATCATTATTTAGGCTGAGATTTTGAGGTGCCTGGGTCCACGTTATGGATAAAAATCCCAAGAAGAAAAGGAGGAAAAAACTATGTTGCATTGGCCGGGAATCGAACCCGGGCCTCCCGCGTGGCAGGCGAGAATTCTACCACTGAACCACCAATGCTGCCCTGAGTACTACCTCCGCGCCCGCTGCCTGCTCCTGCCCGCACAGCTGGATGTGCCCCACGCGGCTCCCTGCCTCCCCCTGCCACCCGGCTGCTGCGGGACAAGGAAATCAATCCTTCAGCCTTAATCCCCACCCTCCTGCTCCCTCTCACGGCAGGATCTTCCAAAAGCCGCTGGCGCTGGCGGGGGTCAGGGAAGAGCTCTGGGCTGAAGGTGCAGATGAGTTCATGTGATTTAAATGTTACACATATTTCACACACCTGGACAAGAAAGACGTGCTGTGCAGGAGGTAGTATTTAGTCATGCCAGGACAACAGCATCCAAGTGATGCAGGAGGCCTAAAGCCACTGCTGTTTCCAGGCATGGAATCAGGATGGCGCTGGCGGGGGTCAGGGAAGAGCTCTGGGCTGAAGGTGCAGATGAGTTCATGTGATTTAAATGTTACACATATTTCACACACCTGGACAAGAAAGACGTGCTGTGCAGGAGGTAGTATTTAGTCATGCCAGGACAACAGCATCCAAGTGATGCAGGAGGCCTAAAGCCACTGCTGTTTCCAGGCATGGAATCAGGAAGTTCACTTA